CCATGAATGACCTCGCGTCAACTCTCGAATCTCTTTAACCCTATTTTCGACGAAAACGGACCAATTTCCTTGCTCTGTTATCCACCAAAGGGCAGTGGTTGAATCAGACCAGAAGGTAACTTTTAAATCGGGCAAACTGAGAGCTTTGATAATAGAATTTGCAAGTCTAGAACCTATACAACAGGCCATTAATTCTAAGCGAGGAATGCTTAAAGATTTCAAAGGCGATACTCTAGACTTCGCCCGTACGAGATTTATTTTTACTTCAGAATTAAATACTGATCGAACAAAGACGCACGCTGCATACGCCCCCTTGCAAGCATCCACAAATACATGTAGTTCAGACGTGTCATTGATAAACAAGTATCGAGGCAAAGTAACATCTTTCAAAACATTAAGTTCTTTAAACCAGTTCAAAAATATATTTACATCATTCGGAGACAATTCATCATCCCATGCAATTTTCACTTTCCACAATTTTTGCAACAACAGTTTTGGAAGCAATGTAGTTGGCGTTAATAAACCAATAGGATCAAAAATTGTCTGCACAATTGCCAAAATTGTCCTCTTTGTGATTTTTGTATCACAGGTCAATGTATCTGTGTCTGTGCAGCACCTCAGCGTATCATTATCCAAATTCCAAATTACCCCCAAAACGGAAGTATCCCCTGAATGTTTGTCAACATTTGTACCAGCCACATTGCTTTCAAAACCGCGCAAGTTAAAACATCCATTTGACATGATTAATTTGGAATGTTCAATAAACGTAAACTGTTCATCAATACTAAAAACACTAGATAAACAATTATCCACATAAAATGACGATTTCAATTTTTGAGCAACTTCACTATATTGACGTGGACAGTTTTCTAATAGATGCATTATAGATGCGTTCAACAAGTAGGGGCTCGAAGAAAGAAACTCCAAACACAACTCTGCAATGCCTATAAATTAATTGCTCTTCATTGCATGGGAAAAAAAAAATCTGAGAAAATCTCTATCTTTAGATGCGACGGATAACATTAAAAAAGCCTTTTCAATATCGGCACTAATACCAATCGGATACATTCTAAAACGATCTATAATATCAGGTATTAATTCAATAAGATTTATTCCTTTACACAAACATTCGTTCAAAGAGAGTTTCCCTTTCTCAGATGCAGAAGCGTCAAAAACAGGACGAATTTTCGTGGTTTCACTTCCTAATTTGATTACAGGCCTATGCGGCAAATAATGACATTCATTATTCAATTCGTTTTCTGGTACGCGTTCAATAATATTCAACCTTTCCCATTCCTTGAACACATTTTGATAATCATCGAAAAATTTACTACATCTGAGTTTATAGATCATCTTTTGATACCTTTTCCAGGATAATTCTTTATTATCGGTTAAATGTGTCGTATCACATTTCCACGGAAGTTCTACTTCATATCTTCCATCTGGAAGAATTTTCATTTTGTTCTCAAATTCAGATAAATTAAAACTTTCATTCATTTTAACAGTTTCGTTTGGAGCGCATATTCCTATTTTTTCAAGTTCCCATAACTCATTCAGAGGAATTCTCCTGACATGCATTGAAAATGTTTTCAAAATATTATCCTTTTCACCCGAATTTCGTTTTCCAAATACCGTCCACCCAAGTTTCGTTTCGACAGCCGTTACCCCGGACTGTAATTCAATAGAATTTCCCGTCAATAATTTTCCTATAACATCTGCTCCGATTAAAAGGTTAATTTCAATTTCCTTTCGCAATGGATCAGAAAATTCGATTTCTTTTTCTTTTAATTCATTCAAAATCTCTTTATCTTTAACCTTAGGAATAAAACCGCAAATCTTTTTTTCCGATAATGCCTCAAAACTACATGCGAATGTTCCTTTTAAATTGCTGACCTCGACCGAAAACACTTCATGTTGTTTAGGTTTCGTTTCGTCCCCCCCAAAACAGTGCATGTATAACTGTCTCCTCCCGAAGTGGAGATGCTTTAAGCTGACTCATCATATTTTCACTAACGTAGCTACTTTGGCTTCCGCTATCAATTATGCAGCGAATAATTTTCTCGCGACCTTGACACCGAATTCGAACGCAAAGCGTTTGCAAAAATACAGTTTCGCTTCTGCCACAGTTAGAAAGAGAACTCTCTTTTGAAACATTTATCTGATCATTATTTTTTAGCTTTTGATTACACATTACATCAAAATGATTACAACTTTTGCAAATAGAACAACTTAACTTACCTTTGAAAGGACAAAATTTACTAATGTGACTCGCTCTTTTCAGACAAGAAAAACAAGCACCTTTTTTCAACAACAATTGTTGTTTTTCAGCTAAAGTCATTTTTTTTTTTTTTTTTTTTTTGCAGAGTAACATTTTTCACTAAAATGTTTCTTTTCACAAAAATTACAGTTTGGAACACTCTTACCTGAATTCTCAAGACTTACTAGAGCTGATGCTGTTACGGGATTCATTTTGCTTTACCTGTTCGTGGTTAAAATCTTTCTTCCGATGGTTCTGTTGGGAAGCGAAACCAGTTCTTGCGAGGAGAACCATCTCTTCCCCTTAACTTCCTGTTTTAAGAAATTCATTAAATATTTCAAAGGATCGAGTCCCTTTAGTTTCAATGGAGTCGTGATTTCTGCTTCTTTCCCATGCCATCAGTACTTCTTCTGGTAAGCAACTTTCCACTAAGGGGGTTAAAAAAATCCCCATATTTTTCTTGGGTTCTCCCCAAACTTTCCAACGCTCGCAATTTTCCTTCTAGTTCATCATACAGGGAGGGTAGATCCGTTTTTGCTCTTCCGGTTACAGCGTTCTTCATCACTAGGCTTAACAAGTCTCTCACATAGATTTGCACAAGTAAATCTTCGCGTCCAAAGCGCTCTCTTAGTTGTTCGATGGCTTTAGGATAATTAGCTGCCGTTGCCGGGAAGCTAAGGAACTAGGCGTTCTGCCTTTCGATTTGGGTTCCATGGCCTGCAATAGATACTGCATTTTATCTTCATAGGCGATACTTTTGTCATCGTGGATTTTCTGGAACTGACTCCAAAAAGTCAGGTAATCTTTAGCTTCACCACTGAATTTTTTAAGCTCAATTTTAGGCAATTTAAATTTCCTAGATTCGGAATTATTTGAAAGAGAGGAGGCTTGTATTTCCGCATCTATTTGAGCACACTGTTCTAGAAACGTATCTCGATAATTTTCCGCTTCTTGAAAATCATCACTAAATAATTTTTCTCCATCTTCAGTCTACAAAATTTGCTGCGATATAGCACTCTGGCATATGTCAAGTCTCTGGAATTTATCACAAAGTTGACACTTCAAAATCGAAAGTATTTTTAAATCTCTTACTTCTTTAGTTAATTCACTTTCGGTTTTCCTTGAGGTTTGCGAAAACGCAATTCTGAGTCCTTTTCTTTGAGCCTTTAAAGCGATCAAATCCATCTTCAAAGTATATTCAAAATCGAAATTCAATATCAAAAGTTCAATCGGAAAATTCTAATGCAAAGCACCCGGTCCCACCGAGGGTACCACTATGCTACGAAGAACACAGAAAATATATAAATCAAATATATTCAAAACAGTTCGTTCAGTTGCGGGCCTGCCTCTACCCGAGGCTGGGTGCATTATGAATAAAGACAAAAAAGTTCTTAATAAGTCATTCTTTATTTCCATCAAAACAGTATCACTCTTCCGAAATCAACTTTCGTTCGTCCACAAGCAAAACATTCGAAAAAACACTCAGCACGCAGGCTGACGTCACAAACAGCAGCGCCTCGCGCCGGTTATTACTTCAGTTCATTTCACAACAGTGCTGTTATCGTAGCTGTAATATGACTTTCTTGATTTTTACTCATGCGGACTTGCGAACTGAAAAATGCTCATCTTGTAACTACATGCAATGTGATTGTGTATAAGTGAATATATGTTAAAATATATATCATCCTAGAATTAAATATAAATGTTAATATTACGGAGTCAGATTTTGTTAACATTCAACGTGCAATCAAAAATGGCATCCATCAACAACAGCCATAGTTTTATATCCAGAGAATTTCTTTTTTCGTAGTTTTTGGAATAGTGGCACGTATAGATGTTTGACTAGAGGTGGATTGGTGGTCTTCTTCAGTATTATCTAAGTTCATTGAGTTATTATCGGTTTGGAGAAGTTGAAATTTATTATTAGTTTTAAGATTTAGTTCGTCATTTTCGCTCTCAGAATCTGAAGACTTTCTTAGTTCCGTTGTTTACGGAATTCACCTCCTGTTTGATGAGCATCGCAGTATTGTTTCAAGTCATTTATTTGTTTCTGTAAAAGTTCATTAGAACTTTTGAGTTCGTTGATAGTTGCAGTAGCTTGAGCATTTTCTTGTTCTCGTAATTGGTTGTAGCAGTAGCAGATGTAGTTCCTTGATTGTTTCGGGTGAAAATCCAACATTTGGTTGACTTAAGGCATTTTCAGTGTCGATTACAACTTGCCTGGTGAAGTTAGCATTATTCGATAAAGTTATCTTGTGACTGAGGATGTGACTAAACTGAGGATCTGCTAAGGATTTCGTGTAGTCATGATCAGAAGTTTCATGCGAGTGTGCTGAATCCTCCATGTTCGTTGTATGCACAAGCGCTGGGTCTAACTGCAAATTCATGACATCAGCACAAGATGTCACGCGCAAGAAGAAAAGAGTAAAAGAAGTTGCAATCTACTCTACTAGAAGACTCGAAACTTCTCAGTAGCCTTGCAAATGAATTTCTGGCTACGCGCCTGTAATGTAGGGACACTTTGCGGTTTCCGAAATGTATCTCATTATCTGTTAGTAGCGCTTCGATATATTTGCATGTCTAAAAAATTTAATGTTTATTGCATTTATCTCAGGAATTAAGTTTTGCTTTATTTGCGATTTTCATGCGTAATTTGGTAATATTTACAGATTTTTGCATTTGAAAAAGTATATTAATGTATCAGAAGGCTACCAAACTTCTCAACTCCTCTAAGATTTAAATAAACATTGTTTTATATTCTTATTTTCGAAAGAAGATAAGACTTGAGTTTTTATTACGATGTTACTTTTGGCGAATAGAGGAAGAGTTTTGTATTCAGCTATCACGAAGACTAATTTTCCGTATATATGTAGAATATTAAATGAGAACAGAACTTTCAACTCCGAAAATTCTAATAAACAAAATGAAATTACTATTGGCGGTTTAGCTAAAGCACTTGGTAAATTTCGTGAATTAGAGCATTCTGAAGGCAAAGATATAAAGACAACATCTGAAAAACCGAAAAGTTTTCTGCACTTACTTAGGCATTCACAATTTGTACAGATGGGTGATCCTTGCGGTAAAATAGTGACTGGAAAGATATTTCAAGTCGTTAACACTGACTTATACATCGACTTTGGTGGAAAATTTTATTGCGTCTGTAGGAAACCTAAAAGGAATTCTGAGTATGTTTTATGACTATTTGTATTTCTTAGTATATACAACATATTTTGAAATGAATTAAAATATAAATTTGGTGGATTATTTTACTTTAATATATATTATTGATCATCTATTTTAAAACGTGTTTGTTTGGAAAGTTTGAATAAAGGCGTTTTTGGTTTAAAAATAAATAAATAAATGTTCTGAAAATGAGCGCACGTAAGTATTTGGATACTTTGAATAAACAGTTTAGATTTAATAAAAACAAGAAAATAGCAGCATAATTAGTATTTTGTTGGATATCGTTTAGTTAAAATTACACTTTTCATGCACTAGGATTAAACTTTTCCCTTTTTTTTTTTTTTTTTTTGTGTGTGTGTGTGTGTGTGGTGTGTTGTAAGAATGATCTATTCCTATGTAAGAATGTTTTTTGAAGAAATAACATGTTTCCTTAATCTTTTCTCCAAATCACTTCATACATGTACCCTAGGGTTTTTAAGTCTGGAGAATATAGAAAAGTTTTGATTACTTCAGGACCACAAGTGAACAAGTATCTAATAGGTACAGCTTGAGTATAGGACTCCATTGGCGATTTTAAGCTTGGTGCACTTTTTGGACGGTTCTTTTTCTGGTAACCCAGTAAATTCTAGAATACTCACTCCACTTCGGCAACCCTGTCGCAAGTGTCATTTTCTTCGAAGGAGCAAAATATTGATGTATTCAACAAATTTCTAGAAATTATAAGGGACATAAATTGAGCAGAATATAGGATTTCTTTATAAATTTACCTTGATTTTGTAAACTTTACTAAATTTCCAGCATTTCTTTTATTTTTAATTTAACATTTTTTCTGAACTCCTGTTTTCAGTTTTATAACTTAAAACTTGCATTTTCAATATTGCTGCCTAAAATATGCCTCCATGTACTTGTGTATTTTCAAACTTCCTTTACTTTTAATTTAAACATACATTCTTAACTCCTGTTTTCATATTTTTAATTTAAACATGTATTCTGAGCTCCTATTTTCAATTTTACAGCTTGTAATTTGTATTTTCAGTATGACTGCTAAAAATATACCTCCATTTATTTATTTATTTTCAGTTTCACTGTTGAAATATATATTCTAAATTTGTATTTAAAATTTTTCTTGTTAAAATGTGCATTCTAACATCTATTTTAAATTTTAACTGCTTTTACAATATGCAATAAAATATAATAAATTTACAATTTAACTTGCCAATATATTTTAAAATATGGCCCTACTTACTTTTGTACCTTCAAATTTGCTGTTTAAACATATATTCTAAAATTGTTTCTGGTTAAAACGTGTTTTCTAACTTGTGTTTTCAATTTTAACTGCTTTTCCATGGCTTGGCGACATTTCTGGTCGCCAAACCAAAAAATCGCCAATGGGGTCCTATACTCAAGCTGTTCCATATAATAAACATAAGAAGACATTTATAGCTGTATGATTAGGATCATGATAAATTTGAATGTATTTTGCATTTTCAGTTTTTTGCAGATACTTTCAGATTTTCATTAAGAATATTTATATATCTATAATAATGAATATTATCTTTTATCAAACCATATTTCCTATTCCAAAGGTAGCAAAACATACTCAAACCGTCGGCATTTATGTCCATTCTATGTCTGTAAAAAACTTTTTTTGCACTTTGGCAGCTGAGGAAAATGGTTCAGTAGTTAAACCATCGAAACTAATTAAAATCATTTAATTTCAATCATTCAAAATTTAATTTTACTTGCAATATAATATGTTTTAGTCTTATTTTGTATATTAAAAAATAATAAGACAATAAAATATTCTTTTTTATTCTAATACTGTTTTGTTATCAGAACTGGGTTCAGAAATGTATGTACATATGGATGTTTTGTATTTCATGTATACAGAATGAACATGTATATGTATACACACATACATGCACGCACATACTGACATGTGCTTACATATACAGTCAAAAGTCGTTAATTCTGACACCCATAATCCGGACCTCAAAGCTAAAATCTTTCTGCGCATGCGCATAGGCGTTTTACGTGTGCGTGCAAGACATTTACAACTGCGCATATGCGTTTGCGCAAGCGCAGAATATGTTTTCGCGTGCACGTTTAATGTATAACGGACGATATAAGCTCTAATTATCTATTTCAGTTAATGTTGATGATTGCGTTGTTCCTTAATCTTCGAATTAGATCCAGCTTATTATTTTTTGCAGACTGTAAGAGCAATTTTATAAAAGTAAGCTTGAACTTTCGATTATGTCAAATAGAATTTCCGATGCTGGAGCTCCCAAAGGATCTAGAAAACGAAAGTATGTTTCGATGTCCATCAAACAATAAACGAATTGCTACAAAAAATGGATAAAGCCATATCCTTTGTTTATCTAACCGTTCGGAAATCTGTTTATCAATTTCACGCTGCTCTGCGGGGGGGGGGGGGGAGGACGTCGCCGTGCGCAATGAACTGGGAGTTGATCCTGTCAGCACTATCGTTATCTTCAGGGCAGATGTTTTTATTTTATTCGGCTTATAATTCCTTACTAAATGTAGTATTTAATCTCGATGTACTCCGTCTTTGATATGATTTAAATCAAATTCCTCATCATTATAAATATCACAAATACAAATCAAATAGTTTTCTGGTTGCAATTTTCTAATTTCGGCTATGTGTAAGGTATGCTTTACGCATGTGCGCATTGAAAGAAATGTTTAATAAAGTAAACAAATAAATATTAAGCTTCTTTTTTTGTAAATTTTGATACCCTTTAGATTATAATTGCTCATTATTTTATAAATTACGGTTTCATATTTTTAATTTTATAATTTCTGCATGCCATCTTACTAGATTTAAACTGATGATCTATAATCCGGAAAAATCGATAATCTGGAATCGCAGAAGTCACGACGAGTCCGGATTAAAGACTTTTGACTGTATACGCTTCTGAATCCGGTCTTGATAACAGAACAGTACCTTTATTCTCAACATTAAAAAGGTTTGCTTATTGTTAAACTATTTAATGATAAATTTATCATTATTGTGAGCTTAATCTTAGATACTGTTTTTCATTTAGGCTTATTATGTGTAAGTTTTTTGAAATATTCATGTTGCACAAGATGTATATAAGGCAATAACTTCATCATATCCTTATATTTTCTGTTTGTAATGGAACGAACGTCTTTATACAAAGGCATTAATGTAATTCTTCCAAATTTAGCAGTCTTCCTCAACCGGTTGGTGATAAATTTTAAGTCTTAAATTCCATGTCCTAAATCAATGTTTATATAAAATAATATAGTCTCTAGTGTAGAATTAGGTGTCCCTTCGATTAGCGACAATTTTTTTTTAAAATTTTGGCAATGAAATTTCATTTCTAGTTACCAGTAAAATGTGATAGTTTTAACTTTGTTTTAGCTTTCTGATTTTTTTTTTAATGAAAATAGATTGATGTGTACATGAACAAATTTGGTTAATGTTTGGAATATGGTAACTTGGCGAAAATTTGGCAACCCAACCCTGCTACAGCAACTTTCTACTTTTTTTTTTTTTTTGCCGCCGTTTTGTCTTCACGAAGTAAAGACAGGTTTCTTTTCTTTTTTCTTACTCAACATTTTTTCCAACAATCTGCTAGCCGAATTACACTTATGCTAGAAATTTTATGGAACAAAAGTGCTTAATCATGACGAATATTAACTGCAAAATTGGGAGAAAGTGCAGAATCGCAAACTCCTTGCTGCGTTTTTCAGAATGAGATATACATGGTAACCTTGTGCACGTCGACCTATTTTTACTTAAAAAAAATCCCAGAATTGCACAAAAATGGCATTGTGCACACTCTTAACTTTATCCACGTACACTGCTTTTTTCTCATAAATTAGAAAAATTTGCACGAAAATGCTGGAAAATTTTGTGAATCTTTAAAGTCGGTAAAAATGACATATATGAAATTACCTGATCGCGAAAAAGTATATACCCTTTCTAAGGATGAACATTTGCACGTATAAAATAAATAAAATATCCAAAAACTTTTTCCTCTAAATTATCTATTATAAACGTCACCTGCGAATTTATAACACAAACATTAAAAATGGTTGCAAATACTTAGTGTGAAATATTTAAATTATTTCCATGCATGTTTACTTCTACTGAAACGTATTCCAAAATGCTACAAACATATAATTCACAAAATAACTATCATTTAATTAAAATGTAATTAAACCATGTACACGTCTACCTATTTTTACTTAAAAAAAATCCCAGAATTGCACAAAAATGGCATTGCGCACACTCTTGACTTTATCCATGTACACTACTTTTTTCTCATAAATTAGAAAAATTTGTGCGAAAATGAAGGAAAATTTTGTTAATCTTTAAAGTCGGTAAAAAGGACATATATGAAATTGATCTCGAAAAAGTATATACCCTTTCCAAGGATGAACATCTGCACGTATAAAATAAATAAAATATCTAAAACCTTTTTCTTCTAAATTATCTATTATAAACGTCACCTGCGAATTTATAACGCAAACATTAAAAATGGTTGCAAATACTTAGTGTCAAATATTTAAATTATTTTCATGCACGTTTACTTCTACTGAAACATATTCCAAAATGCTACAAACATATAATTCACAAAATAACTATTGTCATTTAATTAAAATATAATTTAATTAACTTAAAGCATCTTAATTACTAAATAAACACATACATTAAATTAATAAAAATTAACTTAAAATCTTAATTACTTTAAACTAATTCATTGCTAATAAAAATTTTCCAATAATAGCATATTAATTTATTTTTATTCCTTATATTTAGAACAATGCATAAAAATAATATCCCCAAATGATTAAAAATACTAACTTACCTAATCTTCTACAGAATCTTGAATGCATAGCGGATCACAAATGTCCATTTTCACTAGATTTCTTGCACCGCCATTCAAACTTATCTGTAATATCCTCCCTCGAATTCACTTTACATAGGGCCATGGGATCTCAAAAATTAATCAACACTGTTTCACACAACACACTAATGAAGCTAAATACAAAATGCTAAACGCAATAAAAATTTCGAATTCACTTTACATAGGGCCATGGGATCCAAAAATTAAGCAACACTCTTTCACAAAACACACAATGAAGCTAAATACAAAATATTATAAAGTACTGCAGATATTTTTCCAAATTCCCCCCTTTTCCGATTAAAGAACTGTGATTCGTCCATAAATGTCACATGACATATCTCATGATCTCTCATTTATGTCACACAAAATAATGTGTAATTGGAACTGGGAACTTCTCACATTATTGCCAAAGTCCTAGGTAGTAACCTTTATCGCCTACCAAAATGTCGCCAAACTGCCTGTTACCATATTCCAAAGATTAGCCACAAATTTAAAACAGTGTGCAATGCCTAGTTTATGCAATTCTGGGATTTTTTTAAAGTGAAAACAGATCAATGTGTACATGGACACAGAGTTTGTGCAATTCTTAGATTTCTTATTTTGGTTTTGTGTAGCGGCCATCTTGAAATTGTGTCTTCCTGGCGTCAAAAAATAATCGCCAAAAAACAAGGGGCACCCAATTGTAAACTTTTACCATAATGTATTCTACACTTTTTACAAAACCCCATCCAACATATTTTAAGCCAGTTTACTTTTTCTCTTTCAGTATTCCTTTTCTGAACTGCATTTTCTAGATATTTTGTTGAAATGAAATTTTCATGTTTCATTTCATAAAAATTAAACGGTACTTTTCCGTTTCGCCGGCGCAAATCTTACCAAGTAGACTTTATTGGCGAAAACACACAGTATACACATAAAAAGTGTTGACAAATGTTAGTTCTAAGGATTTTTTATTTTGAAGGTATTAACATTTTAATGTTGTTTAAAATTTTGTAAGAAAGGCCAATAAATAAAGACAATAAATTTGTAAAAAGGCATTAATTTAAGAATTTACTATGCTTTCATCATACAACATCCTGATTCGCCAGTTGATATGACGTGACCCCCAAGTGATCTCATCTCGTGTAAACTGCACTAAAAATCTAATTCTCTCAGTAATTATCTACATTAATTTCAAGTTAAATCTTAATTTGGAATACAAGTTTAAATGCAAGAATTATTTCAATTGATACGAATAGCTTACTCAGAAATTAAAACCACAGTGATTTACTTCGCTAATGTATTCTCATTAGAATTGATGAATTTAATCCTTGATTTTGCCTTTTCTATATTTTTGCCATCGGGTGAGAGGTGTGATTGCATCCTAATTGACTTAATTACCACCCGCAAATGGCCTAAGGGCATAAAATTGAACTATTTGGTAAAAATTCTATGTAATTGTATGCCAGTATTGAAAGAAACGATCAATCTGATAAGAATGGCTGCAACTTGTTTTGAAAATGTAAAAGTTAAAGTAAAAGATTACCAGCGAGGCTATTTCGTTTGGCATGGGTTGTACTATTACTGGCGACTTTATGGCTTGCGCCGGCAGAACGGAAAAGTACCAATTAAACTTTTATATAAATTTAAGTATCCAAATTTTTTTTACAAATACCAGGAAACGTACACTTTTGACATTTCAGGTTAATATATTTACACTTTTGACATTTCAGGTTAATATATGTACATGTATGATTTAAATTTAATATCGCATCTTTTCTCATGTTTTACTCCTCTCTTATAAGTTCTTAATTAGTATTGGGTCAGTCCATAAATTCGTGTGCATTTTTTGGTAAATTTTTAAATAATATAAAAAAACACAATTTAACATTTTAATCAATTATATATTTTCCTCCTTTATCTACAATGTTTCACCATCTTACGTGCAGCTTTTTTATGCCATTGCTGTAGAAAGACTCTGGATTTGATGCAAAAGAACTTGAAAGTTCATTGTGTACATCCTGTTTAGAATTGAATTTTTTTCCCAGTAAAAAGTTTTGTAAGGCACGAAATAAGTGAAAATCACTTGGGGCAATATCTGGGGAGTAAGCAGGATGTGGCAAAAGCTCCCAATTAAATGCACTCATTTTTTGCAGTGTTGTTCCAGCCGTAAGCGGTCTAGCATTATCATGATGAAACAACACTTTCTTGATATTCACCAATCGTGGGTTTTTTTTTTTTTTTGATCAATTCTGAGTTTAGATGGCAAAGTTGTTAACTATAAACTTCTGAATTAATCGTTTGATTTGGTTCTAATAGTTAACGTCCTGAATGGGGCTCATCATGAACACTGCTTTTTCCAACTTAAAATTTTTTAAACCATTTCTGGCCAGTCCTTACACTAATAGTGTGTTTACCATGTACACTATTAATTTGTATTGCTGCAGAACTGGCAGATTCACCACACGAAAATAAAAAATGTAGCACAGCATGTTTGTACTGATTATCTATATTCATCATCTATGGGTACTAAAATGCATTTGATATTTACAAAAGTTGGTGATGAACTGAATAATATATTAGTCAAACGATGACAGGTTTCAACAGGTTCAAAATTGTATTGTTTTAGTAAATGCGTCATAATGAATTCCACATATACTCTTAATGCGCACGAACTTATGGACTGACCTGATAATTCTAAAGAAAATGGACTTGCACCACTTTCATAATCAATCCTTATGCAATTTTATTTATTGATGAATTTTAAATTGATCGAAGCATATGGATATTTTAAAATACTAACTGTGAATTATTTATAAATAAAATGTGAACACTGAATCATAAATAAATTGTGTGATTTTTCAATTTTTTTTAAAAAATGAGCTTGTACCACTTTTAAAATAAATGGTCCAAATGTGTTTTGGCAACATGGTGGGTTGCCCATCAATATTTTATTACTGCTTTTCAGTGGGGCTGCTAATAAACAGAATGTAAATAAGTAATGAAAAAACAGTTGAAGCTATAAAAATTGAAAGAATTGTAATATTTGCTCATAATGTTAATAAATGCTCAGCAGTTTAAAAATGACTTTATAAAGAATGCATCACATTAAAAAAAGTCTTTCATATTGCAGGCTTTATGTCAGGAATGCCACTGTTAAAGTTCGCATAAATGAATTGGAACTATGTGCTAGATTTCTTGGTGCAACAGAAGATTTGACATTGACAGAAGCCAGCGGTACATTATTAGATCTCATTTGGTCTCCATTAAATACAGAAAAATCAGATGTAAAGTAGAAAATTATACCTAAATTTTTTTTGTATATACTAAATTATTCAGGTATTAAAATTTTCTATTTCAAATTTGTTTTTGTTCTAATTAAAGTTCTCTGTTTCATGTTTTTATATATCAACTATTCTGTTATGGAAAACTATATAAAAGGAAAATTGCATTTGCATAACAAAAATTTAAATTAAAACATACAGCCTTTGTAATTGTTACTTAATTATTAAATGAAAAATTGCCATTATTTTGAAATTTGAATTGAAAGCTGTATCCATGTATAACATGTCATTTATGAGTATTTATTGTAAACTAAAGTTTATGATGTTTGATATTCTTTCTGTTAATTGGTAGCCATCATGGTTAATGAACATAACTCAAATATAAATCTTATAAGTATCTTTCAGTTATAACTGATTAGGTATTGATTTGCTTTTATTTTCTACATAATTACAACCAGAAGTATAAAAATAAAATAATTTGTACTGCATAATTTTAGCAATTTTTAATGACTAAGATAATCTGTAAAATATAACGTGTAATATTTAAAATGTTGCACCATATAAGGTCTTATCTAAAAGCTCATGCAATTTCTTTTAAAATATTCATTCCTAAATGTTACAGGTTTTGATATTTACATATTTGTTTTTTACTTATTACATGCTGTGCCCTTAGTCACTGCACAGAAAGGAAGAGATGCCTCATGGAGGTGTTTTCAAGGAAAACTGGCTCATATCTGTGTGTTATACATGGAGAAAAGCACAGAAACGCCCATGCAGCCAGCCCATTCACGGGGGACTCGAACCCTGGACCAAACTATCAGTGTTCAACGACTTTTTTCCGCTTGGCCCCTTGTGGGCATATTTACATTTTATTTCAAACCTAGTATGGTGCAGTTTGATGTTTCTTTAATGGGGAAAAAAAAAAAAAAAAAAAAAAGATGGCTTAATAGTTGCAAAATGATTATTTATTACATTTATATTTTAGATTTTAATTGGCTATTTATTCCCAAAATCAATCAATAAACTTACAAGTGGCTTTTTTTTTCCTGGTGAAAATTTCATGGCAGTCACTTTAAAAATAGATTCAAAGCAATCGTTCACACAAAAAAGTTTGCAGAAAAGTACTGTATTCCTATAGAAATTTTATTGATGTTTTTTCTAGTTAGGCAGATTCCTCAAGTGCATATTTTAAAATACACTGAAGTGCTGATGAATTATGGATATCTAGTCAATAATGAGTTGGCCTCCTTTGGCTTTGATAATAGCTGCCACATGAAGATGCAATGCTCCAATAAGTTTGCGGAAGCATTCTACGGGAATGGCTTGCCAAACATCGGGCAGAGCTGTCTATAATTTAAGAAGGGTTGCTAGTGTTGTGTGATATTTTGTTGAGTGCCTGCTGAACATCTTTCTCCAAAACATTCAAAAGGTGCTCAGTAGAATTTTAAGTCAGAGTTTCTTGGTGACCAATTTATGACCGAGAAGTCAGAGGAATGCTCATCCAACCAGGCAGTAGTCAACCGGCACCTGTCAGGTGGATCTTGCTGGGATGCTCCATTTTCACGTGAATGATAGGACAACATAAATGGTTGGAGATGATCGCCCAGCAACTTGGAGGTGATACCCCAGCAACTCTACATACTGAATCGTATTGAGGGAGGTTGGTACACATAACAAAGATCCCAAACACTGTCAGGAGATAACACCCTAGACTATGACTGAGCTGTCATGGCCTTGTACAATTCCAACCTGGCATGCAGGGTCCATGGCTTCATGAGCCTGACACCATATTCTCAGCTTTCCATCAGTATTAACCCTTTAACTGCCGCAGGAAACATACAAGATTCACTCCCCAATGCTACCGATTTTTACACAGGAGCGCGTAGTTATGCAATGTATTAGGGAGAAAATAGGTGCAAGTTTTGCTGTCTAAAATTAAAATTAAGTTAAAAACTGTTTACTTTCACAAAATAAAGAATGAAAGGAAAAATGAACAAAATTTAATGTTTCCAGTAAAAGTATAATCAAAAGATGTAAATATAATAAAAATGATGTTTGTATAATGAAAAAGATCCCCCAAAATGTCATTTTGATCAATTTATTTTTAGACCAGTAAAGTATAATATCAGGTTCCAGTGTCATACCTTGTGAAAAAAAAGTATACCTAAATGAAAATGTGGAGGGGGAATAGGCAATTTTTTCATATCAGTAAATATCATATTCTGAGGTGTCCGATCTTGAAGATGACGAAAAGTAATCATCTGTTTCATTGTCATATATATATATATATATTTGTTAAAAAAAAAGCACCTACTACAAACAGTAAACGAAAACGGTAGACACAGAATAAAAAAATATGTTGTACTCCAAACAGAAACAACCAATAAACCGTGGTGTTATTACTTTCACCACTTCAAAAACAGCCCCCTCTTCTCTGAAATAGTATCCTCCTTTGCGTACTCTCTCAGGGTTATTGTGGTGTTACATTTTGAAGCTTTGCGAATAATTGTACCAGTAGCAGCGCAAGGCAAATGATAGCATTTTGGAAGGGCGTATATATATATACATACACGCTCAGGGCAGTTAACGCATCGGCTGAACAAGGTGTATATATACTCCTGCGGCAGTTAAGAGGTTAATTAGTTGGAATCGAGACTCATCACTGCATGCTACTCGTTTCCAGTCCTGAATCTGTTGTCTATGTCAGGAGTCCCCCAAACATTTTGTCCCTAAGAGCACATTCTAGAATATTTGTTGTATGGTGAGCATCATTTACTTTTTCAAGGTGAATTTATACTTGGATAGTATTAATAATACATGCACATTTTGAGGGTCTATTAACTGCTAGATACCCATTTAGAAAAATAAACTCTTTTAACCCTTTCGCTGTCTTCTCCTGTCCACGAAAATTTCTCCCCAGCGGCCATCTGTTTTTCGTAACGTGTAATGTTGTTTTCTCTGTACATCATAACTTCCTATACATGACTTTCGTTGTGGATGAATGTCAATGAACATTAAGTAAAATTATAAGGAAATAAAGCATAATGGAAAAATAATAATATCTCTGCTTGTCTAACAGCAGGATTAATTTGATAATGTCTGATCCAGGCGGTCCACTCCTCCCATTTTGTTGTTGTAATCTTTTACAATTATTGGTTTTTTTGCAGTTCTTTTCCATGTTTCAACATCAATCATAGAGTTATTATGGACTGTACTCATCAAACGTATATCCTTCTTGTCTTTCCAATTCACAACCTCATTTTTTCTCTTTTTCTGCTGAGTAGACGTTGAAGATCTCTCACTGTTTTGTATCTTATATAAAATGGTGCGAATATTCATAAAACCCGGGGGGGGGGGAATTCAATTAGAAATAGAATACCTGATTAGTACTGTCCTCTAGGAGATATTAGAGCAAACAAAAATAAAAACTCAAACAAGTAAACATTTAGAAAACGTTTAAAAGTTTTAAAATGTAGAAGAACGCTTGAAGCGCGTTACGGCTGCCCTGCAGAAGTTTCACTTGAACGCGCTAGACGCATTACGGACGACGAAGAGGTTAATAAACCAAAATATATACATGGCGTTACGATAACATAAATCTCAGCAATGAATACAGTGTGTGCACGAACTCTTAAAAAAAACAGAAGGCAAAAATTCTCTTTTTGCAGTCGAGCAGAGATGAGATTCTTATCACGCATGCATGAGGAGAACTGGAGGCACTGACGAAATGGAAGGGGGGGGGTGCAGCCCCACAACATAAAAAAAAAAGAGATTAGTCGCATTTTGCTTTGTGCTGGTATCTATGTTGAACACAATTTCTACTTCATTGAAAATGAGAAAACTTTCACATAGAATTTTATTGCAAACTCAAACATTTTTTAAAAAAGGGGATTCAATGCAATAAGTCGCTTAATTTGCAATTCAGACACGTACCATATCAAATTTTAATTGATTTGGAGACCATTATGTATGTTATGTAAGCAAAGAGGGATGGGTTTCCTCTTTCCCTTGCATGTGCTTCTGGGGCCAAAACACCCAGTTATATGCTTGTGCATGATAATTTAATACTTGTATACAAATATTTTAATAGAAATATGTACAAGTTAGCCATAGTTAAATACATTAGTGTGATGGTTGAGACTGAATTTTATCAAAAATTTTGGATATATTTGATTGAAAGTTAGTTATTGGTATTCTGAAGATGGATTGTAAGTGTTGACCTGTCATTTTATTTCTTAATTTTGACTTATTTAGATTCTTAAGAGAAAATGTTGGTTCGCATATATAAGTACTACAAAATATTGTAACACACCTGCTTGCATTATTTTTTAAGCACAAAAATTTGACAGGTATGGAAAATGTGTTCTATAAAAGTCCAGAATATCTAAATCATGGAATCTGAATTTGCTTAAATCAGAAGTTTGTAAATTGATACGTTCTATTTGAACATCTTCTAGAGCTTTTTTGACTACAACAGAAAATGGATCCCAGAACAGTCTAAACTTAACCTCATGCAACTCAAAGTCTGCAAATTGTCTGATTGCAGATTGCTCAAAGTGTGCAAATTGTCTTTGAGACTGTCTGCAAATCCTCCTCTTTATTTGATCTGAATAATCCAGTTGTTTATCAGGAAAATGTTCTACGAGTTTCTTCAAGTAAGGAAAATTGACAAAATTTTGACAGCCAAGCTGCTTAGGGAACAGCTGGAGTTTTAGTTTGAAAGCAGATACTGCATTGGTCAGGTGATTGATGAAGTGCTTTTTCCCATCAATTTTTTTTTGTTTAGGTCATTCCAATGGGCTGTCACATCAATTAAAAATGCTAAGTCATACTTGAAAGATCCTAGTTTGCTTGCCATTTTCTTCAAGTAATGGTATTATTTCATCAATCAAATCAGAAAACCTTTTCAAAGCCTCTCCACGGCTCAACCATCGTACTTCAGAGCTACATATGAGATCACTATGTGGTGTATCTATGTGTTCTAGGATTTCCTTAAATTGCCTCTGGTACCATATGAGCGAATAAAATTAAAATTGATTGTATCGCTCACTATTTTTATTAGGCGATCAAATCCTAGTTCTT